TAAAAACTTATAAAAACATCGGAACAATGGTGAAACAAAGAACTTGAGATATAGTGCTTGACTTGATTGTTCTGTCTTTCAATTGCTCAAGACCCAAGTGAAGGCTAAGAAGTCCCATGGTTGAAGGTAATATGGGTAACTTTGAAAGTCAGATCGGTTTATTCTAATCCAGAGGAGAATTCTTGATTGAACACCTGTGTACTTTTGAGACGTGAAAGCATTGTAGCAGCTCCTGATCCATTGTTGAGTTTAGCTTTGCTCATGAATTAGCAAAGGTTAAGCTTGGGGGAGATTGTTGACGGTCATTAACATCACTTATAAACCGTCAACATATCCTACATATATACTTAATTCCATTACCAAACAGAGGAATAGAGGTTTAAACTAATGAATTCCATGAGCTTTGGTGAATATATGACTACAGGAGGATTTAATCAGAAACTGTCAAGGAAGACCTATTTGTCAAAGTAAATCATATTTATTCATGACGATACCGACTTAGGAAGACTCTAGAACACTCTAGAAGGCAATCCACCGAAGCAGACCTCGAGGGGATGACATTTGGGGCTGACTGGCCTCACCTGCAGGTCGGCTGACCTACTGACCCCACATGTTAGCCTCTCCTTCGGACATCGGTTCTCCACCACCTTAAAGATCAAATCTACGCCGTTGTTTTAAGTCGGTTTGATCCGAGGGTTCATAATTGATGTTGCCCCCTATATAGCAACCCCTACTCGCCTCCCTAAAGCCATCCTGAAACCCTAATTCATATCCTTCTCATCAGGATCAAAGCCAGCTATCAAGAGAAGATTAGCCCTCTATAGGATCTAGTCTTGTAAATAGAAATAGTGAGATAGAGTGAGGGAAGGATTTGGAGGAAGTGCCGACCTGTCAGTGCTCTCTCTATGGCTTGTACCTCAACGGATTCAAGTTCTACTTGAGCTTGCTTCTGAGATTTCTCTGGTAATCTTTTGATTCAAGTAAGCATTTTGTTTATATTGATCATTAGGTTCGTGACTCTTTGGAGTGTTTTATTCTCTTCCTAGGGGGAGTAAAGTATTAATCGTATGTGTAAGCGTGGTGCTTAGACTTGGGTTAATCGTGGATGCACCCTGCATTCCGCACTGGTGGTAGATCGCGAGTGTGACACTCTTGTTGAGTCCTTTGTAGTCCACCTCCCGTCTGTAGGCTAAGTTGGACCCGGTTACAAAGGAAAGCATCCTCTGTAGGTGTCTTCCCTTAGTAATGTCCCTAGTTAAATAGTAGAAGACATAGCTTTCCTAAGTCAAAACTAGAGAACCTTAGTAATCCTCTATATGCTCCTGGTTATCCTAACCTTGTTGCTACCCCTAGTTAAGTTAGACTATAGTTAATCTCACACGTTTATCCGTGCGCTTGTTGATTTATCTGTGTGCGTCTTAAAATATACCAACAACCAACGAGCTGCTATGCGTGGCAATATGATCTATGGCAACAAACTCACTTGTGTGGCAATACGATCTATGGCAACAAATAAAATTACGTGGCAAATGGTACTATTGTGACCATCATGGCAATAACATATGATCTCTCGCAACGAATTAAATTGTGTGGCAAATGGTGCACTTGCCAAGGCATGACAGTCTTGGCAATAACACCTTAGGAAACAAAAATCTAGGGTGGCAATACAGACTATTGCAATGATGTTGTTCATGGCAAATGTCTCTATTGCTACGCTATCGATCGTTGCATGTACTACCTCTTGCTACGAAGATGGGCGTGGCAAGTGCTTATATTGCCAAGATTGAGAACGTTGCGACAACATCCTATTGCCATGCTCGGCAACGGATAGCTATGGTTGCAAGAAACCCCAACAGATGCAACGCCTAGCTAGCAATTGTTGCAATACCTTATTGCAACGTGACTTATTGCATCCATTGGCAACGAATGCGATTTGATTGCAATATGCACCTTTTGCAACCAAATTAGGCCTATTGCAACATTTTCTTGTCATTGCACATGGGTCAGAAGTTAGTATAGTTAGGCAGACTCACACCCAGGCAACAATCTGGACCCAGGCAAGCAAAATCGAACATCCGGGGACGCACGGCGCACCAGGCAAGTTTGCCTAGGGTTGAAGCAAACAACCCCATAATGATTGTCAACGGTTGTCAATCATTAATTCGTGATACACAGCAGCAGCAGATACATCATTTTATAGTGCATATACTATGACAAAAACCTTTGAATTTGTAAGACATATATATGATGACAAAAACCTTTGAACGTTGGAGTTCCCCGAGTCTCGATGGTCTATTGTTATGGGGAATAAGATACTGGAATGACAGAGTCTTGTTTTAATTATTATGAACATTAACTTATTATTAAGATGATGGTACAATTAATTTGGTATTATATAAAAATGATTACTTTACGGTTTGATCGATATATAAATTTCTTAACAACATTGAAGTTCGGCTGATGAAAGATATTTTTGTCATTCTCCAAGAAAGAAGTTATCCTCAACCTTGCTCATAGAAGTTGCCATGGGACTAAGTTTTTGTTGTTTCTATAAAAAAAATCTAGAAACCATCCAACATCTATATTTTTATTGCTCATTTGCTAAATTTCTCGTGTTAATTTTGCATTTGGAATTTCACCTCCTGCGAATGCAAATTATATATATATATATATATATAACTACTGTTCTGCAGATGGCCATAGAATAACTTATTATGTAGCCATATATGTTCAGCCAATGGTCAAATCAACATTTTGATACGCACTTTAGTTGGCGAGAAATGAGATTGTTTTTGACAACAACATTCCAAAACTTATTCAGGTCTTGTTTATGGAGACACACTGGTTTCGTTTCTAGGTATAGTGGCACCGATGTGATGAGAAGGAGCTGTTCATCCAAGCATGCTACTCAACGTGGGTTTTCACCATGCATTGATGGTCATTTGTTTAGAATTAATTTTAATATGGAATCCTTGGTAAACGTCGGTTGTGGTTGGGTGGCGTGTGCATTCCCTTTCCGGCCACAACTCCGTTCTACCGAGGATGCTCCAACGGAGGGCGCATGAAGCGCCATGGGTGGGTGGACGACGATAGCGAGGAGTCCGACAGCGACCACCCCACAACCTACCTTGATGCCATTCATCGCCTGGCGAAGCCAGCAACTACGTTCCCGCCGCACGCCCAGTCTCGCCCAGTCATGATTCGAGGTCGTGGCGGAGAGGACGCTGGATGACGGGGACATGGGCGAAGGCAGAGGAGATGCAGCCAGCTGCGCCCCCAGTTGGTGTGCGGCCTGCCTGATTGGCCAATGGATGGCCGTGTCCCTGCCCGCCAACGCCTCGGCAGCCGCAGACGGGTATCCGCCCCAACATCGATGGGCAGCGGGAGATCCTCCACTGGCAGGAGACCAGATCTACGGCCGCCTCGGTTGAGCATTGCCCAATGCGGCTCCCGCAGGCCCAAAGGATCCCCGCATAGCTTCTTGATAGATGTTTCAACTGTCTATCTTACTCGCATCGAGTAACGACTTGCCGGTTGCCACGACGTTGTCTATGTTGCCATAGCTTCTGCCGCCTCGCCAGGGAGTATTAGCGGCCTAGGTCTACTGCGACGTCAGTGGTGAAGGGTGGCAACCTACCACCGGCCTCTCAGCACGTGCCCTACGGTGGCCCACCGAGAGGGGCCGTGCGGGGTGCTGTGGGGGCGCCGGCCGTACCCGACGATGACACTAGCGGTGCCAGAGTATGCCAGCGGGGGACATCAGCATTGGCGTGCCTGTAAACTTCACCGACAATGCCGCTGATGCACACCGCTCTCCCATGCCAGATCCATTGGTGTTGGAGCTATGCATGGACACGGGGCCTCCTGCGTGGTTTGACCCAATGTTGGAGGAACTCGCCACCTCGCTTGTCGCGAGATAGTGCTTGGGTGCCACCTGTTTAGCAGGTCGCCCCCCCAGGAAGCGGAAGTATAGCTGGTGGACACCGGTTCTCCGCGCGAAGGATGCCCAGCGGATGATGGACTCGCCTCCTTTGACGCCTGTGCACGGGCAGCCCCAAGGCACGCAGCCATGGGATGCCGAGGAGCACTCCAGCAACATCCTCCCAGACGCGGACGCAGCCACCCCGCCTCGACCCATTAGCCCTGCACTGGCCAATGCCGGGGAAAACAACCTAGGAGACATGACGATTGAGGCTGCCACAGACGGCGTAAACCGCACTCTATCACCTGAAGCGGCCTCAGCTGAGAGACGCCTCAAGAGCTTCATAGAGCGAGTCACAAAGAGGAGGTAGCCGTCTCTCCCGGAGTTGCCCGATGATGATTCGGCCTATGGCAGGTATGCACCGCCAAAGTTCATCACGAGAAGCAAGCGGATAGCAGCGCAGAGCATATCTCATGTTCCGGCTTCCAAGCGAGGTGAGTGCCTTGTCATGAAGCGCCTGGGACTAACCAACGGGATGCCATCTCTAGCGACAGCGGCCAAAAAGACGTACGACGAAATGTTCAGCAGTAACCCAGCTCATCGCTGCGTGAGTTGTTCCCCATAGACACACGGTGGGCGCACGTAAGCAGCATCGCCGCCTCTCGGCAGCCCGAGCATAGGCCTCCTAGCCGCGCCACAATTTAGGTTGATCTCTTTCTAATGTAATAGCATAACTTGCAGTTCACTAGGAGGGCCCTGAGGGTTCACGTACATCTTTTGACCCCTAGGGCGCTGCTTAGGCGTGTTGTATTGAATTTATTCTCTACCTTAATAAAACAACGCGCGAACCTTTTGCATATTCTAGAAAAAAAAGTCAGATTTTCTTTCCGTGGTATACTATCTTCAATTGTTTCTACACATTATGAAAACAACACCTCGGCCATTATTTTCATGTACTATGCTATAATATAGTGACCCCTCCCTACTGGGTTGTAAAGCTAAAACCATACAAAAAAAGCAAAAAAAAAATACTATATTATTGATCCACCACTTAGTGCATGCCTCCAACAGTCCAACTCTACTCTGTCGTGATGGATTGGAACACCTGATGCATCACCGCTCTGAACCGGTCGATGTCTAGAGTAACATTCTGGCCATTGAGGAAGGTTGCCCAAGCTTTACCCTGACGATGTATGGACTGAGGGTCGGTAAACACAGGGTGATCCCTTGGGTACTTCTCCTTCAGTGATGTTTCCTCTGCTGTTACCTCATACTCGACGTATCTGAGTCCCATGCCCGGCACAGGCTCACCAAAGTCATACCAGCACGCCCACTTCATGTCACCCCAGGGAACAATCTGCACTACGGTGCCATTGTGAGGAAGGAACACCATGTTGGTCAAACCAGCACCATGCACGCCAACCATCACGTCGCAGGAGTTCACCACCCCCGCGAAGTGGCCCATATCGCTGACGTCCTCTGGCCGCGCAGCCACCACTTCGAAGCCGAGGTCTTCCATGGCGGTGATGGTTTCAGCTTCGTTCGTCAGCTCCCTTGAGTGGCGCCGCAGAACCATGACGAGCCGTGGCTTCTGCTGCCCTGCGCTCCTGCTTATGGGTTCAACCCATGGCCGTTGCAGCGAGAAGACATACCTGAGGAAGTCACGGAATCCCATCATAGTGTAACCGTGGCGGGAGAGACTCGGGTCGATCCCAAGCATCTTGTTGTGACTCTCCAACCCGACATGCGCCGACGGGAAGCAGCGCACAGCGGTGTCGGCGTCGAAATCTATGACTGGGTACATGGACAGTGCGGAGAGGATCGGCCTGAACTTGGCAACCCATTGCGGTTGGTAGTCGGTGATAAGAAACTGGACACGGCCATTGTACTCACGGGATGTGATGTAAAGTGGCACGATGAGGTCACTCATGGCATGGAAGAAGTTTCCACCGCAGCCGCCGGTAGAGAAGACTACCGCCGGCACGTCGTGCCTCACCGTGCACTTCGGTGGGATAATGAAACTGAAAGCTAGCGGCAAGGATCTCATGGTGACCTCCCGAATCCTCGACATAGTCTCTTGCTCCCACTTTCGCGTGTATGGGCGGACTATGAACGTAGAATTCTCCGGCCTGTGGGTGGATGCTGCGACCACATAGACTGTCGCCGATTTGCCATGGATGCGCAAGTCACCTTCCATTGTGCAGATGTCCGAGTGAGGGTTGCTGAAGTTGCAGGTTAACTTGCTGACAGCGGCTTCCATGTCTGCATATATCACAGATGATTCATTTCAGTTAAAATAATCACTCTTTCATGCAAAAAAATCCTCCTAAGATTATCTTAGGGACATTATCTTGCACATTATCTAGGAAAACAATGATTGTAGCACAAACAAACATAGAGTTCAATTCATGACAATCGTCCTTAAATGTGCACATGTACCTGAATTTATTGAAGAACTATCTTTTGGCCCGTTGGTGGCAAGGATCTGATTTTGCTGGTTGTAGTCTGAGGCAAATTAAAAATGAAGAATATTATCGTATTAGTTTCGCATCTAATACTCCAAAACACAATAACCAAATAAACTGACTGTTCAATAACGAAGTAATATCAGCTAGTTCGTGCATTTTATATTCTGAGCACGATAAGACTTTCAGATCTAATTAATGGATTATTCTATGTGTCAGCTTGAACTAATTAAATTATTGTGCTGGTATTGGGATCTACACTAGCAGTGAACTTGTGGTTTCTTTCGAGGGGGCGTGTACTAGCCCATATGGAGTATTGTATTGTTTATATCACCAATGGAGGAAGAAAACTGATCGAAGCTTCTCCGGGATAGCTAATTTAACAGTTTGTTGCCTTCGAGAGAATTAGCAGACATACCTTTTACAGCTTCTGGGTCATGTGGATCTTGCTGCCATCTTGCATTGTCAAAACCTTCAATTTATTGGTGAATAATCATAACATTATCATATAGAACACTTTTGACATACAGACATAAATGAAACCGAGGTTAATTCTGTTAACACACTTATATAACTCACCAGTGTATGGAACCGTGTGAACCATTTCGTCCGTGTCTTTCATAAATCTAGTCTCCCTAACTGGACAAAATTGAAGGTGCATTTTAGTTCTATAAGGTAGCAGGTCATCACTAGAAACATGTAAATGAAAAGCTTGATATATGCATTCCAATTAATTCGGACTATCACTGCAGCGGTGCTTCTATAGGTTGTGTTTTACTTCCATACGTAGGGTTTTGTGTGCTGCTATCAGCTTAGTGCAGCAGAATTGTTACAAGTGAATGCCTGGATTTGTTTATTCCATTAGAAACGAAATGCTCCTATATCTATGCTATTACTATAAAAAAGGAATAATTTGTAAAAAAAAATATCACAAAGCAATACTCACTAGTAGAGAAACGACTTTTGATCCACTTTAAAATTTGGCTTTAGTCCCGATATTTTTCATGCCCGGGACTAGAGAAACCTTTAGTCCCGATTGGTAGCTCCACCCGGGATTAAAGGTCCCTGCCCAACGGTTACCAAGGTGTATCAGAAGCACGTCAGTGCGAGAATCTTTAGTCCCGATTTGAGATATGAACTCGGACTAAAAGTGTGACTTTTAGTCCCGGTTTGAGACACGAACCTGGATTAAAGGTACCTTTAGTCCCGGTTTATGTCTCAAACCCGGACTAAAGGTATCTCCAAACTGAATTTAAAAGAAAAACGTATCTTATCTAAGTTAGATGTGTGGTGGTAGGTGAGATGGTAACACGTGTAAGAGCTGAAGTGGGAGGCCGTAGGTTCGAATCTCCACAGCTGCAGCTGTTTTTTTACCCAATAAACACCTCTACTCTCGGTTGGAGGAACCTGGACTAAAAATCAAGACCTTTAGTCCCGATTGCGTAGTCCCAGTTCCAAAACCGGGATTAAAGGGGTTGAGAACCGGGACTACGACCCATTTCTCTGCTAGTGACTTCTCCCTAACGTTTCAAATTTTATACTACAAATGGAGTTCTGTAAAATTTGATGCTTCAGCACATTTAGAGCTCCTGCTGAAGCACGGAAAACCGAACAGGCTTGCATGTATTCCCACAGTTTCAAATTGTAAGCTAAGTTTTCTAGGTTTAAAACTTTTGCTACCCATATATTATGTCTAATACAAAGTAAATGTCATGTACTCCCTTCATTCCAAATTATAAATCATTCGCTTTATTAGGTACATATATCTTCTGCTATACACCTAGATAGTCTAGATGTATATAGAAGCTATATATGCATTAAAAAAAAGCCCAGACAAATTACAATTTTGATTGGAAGGAGTATATAAGAAAGCCCGAACGAGTTATATAAAGAAGTAGCGCGAGGATCCTAAAATATAAAGAGAGAGCACTAATATTGTCGAAAAAATATAAAGAAGTAGTGCGAGGATCTAAAAACAGATCATATACATGTATAGAATTGGTCTTTAATTTGTCCAAGGACGAAACACCGGCGGCCACTTACAGCGAGCGACCTGCGGCAGGAAATCAGTCTTGAGCACAACCAGCACAAGAAGAGGAGGCAGCAGGAGCCACATAGCAGCCCTTCCTGCACTGCTGCTCCCTTTCTTGGTACCCTCATGCCTCCCCATCATCTCAGACAAGCTCATCTCTGCAAAGCTAGCTCCGCCCAGACGACGGCCTGAGCTCCCTCAGTCTGTTCTCTTATACCACATTCACATCTCGATCGCAGAGTTCATCAGGCTGTGGTTGACTTGCGTGGAGCATTAAATCCCGCGCACTGTCCACATGCACGGACGCTATTATCGGCGCATAGAAGGGGCATCGGGATCGTTAAGAAGACGACAAATGCAACTGCAGCACGGGATACTACATTTCTTATTTGTAGCTGCAGTCCACAAAGGTAGCTGCAAGCAGAGCACCGACGGTTTATTTCAAATGTTTTGTTGACAAATGAGAGTGGTTGATTCCACCTCAATATTTTTATTATTTATTATTGGAGGAACTACACGAGAGCCTCAGAGCCTGCTTTTCATGTGTAAATGCACTGTGCAAGTACAAAATAAACATGGGGTAACAGGTACAGCAGGCTAGGTTATGGACTGAATGGTCGATTGTTGGCAGAACAAAGTGAGCAGGGTAGGATAGAGAGCCCGTTATCACCGGTGAAGCAGTTTTTTTTTCTTAAGTTCCATAAAGCTAAAGTTGTTTTAAAAAAACATTTGGTAAAATAGCTTTTAAGAGGATAGCAGAGAGAAAGCTAGGAGAAGCTAATTTTTTCTGGTTCTTGTAATGTGAGAGGAGTTGAAAAATAGTTTTTAGGGAGAAGCTGTTTTATCTAGACCTATTTGGTAGGGAAAGTTAAAAAAACAACTTTGTAAATCTAGGGCAAAAAGACCCTTGGCCTATTTAATTTGGTTTTGATGTTTGATGATCAACGAGGCTTACTAGCAAACCACCAAAGGATAATCAACGTGCTTGCGTGATGAAGAACTGGCTAGTTTTTAGGTAAACAAGCAAAGAAGCCATCGAAGCTCTCGCCCAAAAGTGACCTCGTCGGGGTAAGGACGTCGCCGGTACCCTAGGTTGGCCGGCAAGCCAAGGACGCTATCATTGATCGTCAGATTAAGAGATGAACATCATGTGGTTGGAAGAGATAGGGCAAAGAGAGGGTTTGAGTTGTACTTTAACGATGATTTATGCTATTTATCTGAGATTTTGTTGTCTTTTATCCGTCAGATTCTAGGCCGTTGATTTGTTTGGAGATTCCTGCAGCTGTTTGGGTCCGCTGACAGGTTTGCCATGCTAACGGGTCCGCGAAATTTAGCCTTTGATATCCGCAAACCCGTTATCATTTCTTTTCATCTCACAGACTCGCACGGTTTTTCCCCGGTCCTCTCCGTTCGTCAATTGCGCGGGGCAAAGGTCCTCGCCGCGCCTCCCGCTGAAGCTGTGGGTGGAGCGTTCTGCGGAGCCGGGGCAGAGCTGCTGGGGTGTAGGTGTTGTCCTCGCGCGCGCTCGTCCTGTGCCGCGGCTTCACCGCCGTTTCCCCTCTCCTCGCGGTGGGTGTATTGGGGCGCGACCGTCGCCGCCGCTTCCCCTGTTCCGGTCGCTGCAGAGGAGCTACTGCTGTTGCTGATTGAAGGAGGTGTCGCTGATCTGAGGAGGTATTGCCGCTGTCCGCCTGTGCCTGTTGGATGCTGTGGTTCATGTAGTAGGTGTTCTCGGTAATTAGGTTTTGCTTGTCTTGGATTTCATTGGTTTGGTGGATTCGATTTGTAGTTCATTTGGCGACGAAGCACATGAGACTGCGACCTTGGTCTAACCAAAGTGGCATGCTGCTGCTGCTGTTGAATCTGACATTGAACAGATCCAATGCAGTTTCAGTGTCGTAGTCCATGACAAATTATCTATCTTACTAGGCTCGTGAAAACTTGAGGGGTTTTGTTTTGAGGTGCTACTTCTTTCTGTGCGCGCTGATGGTCACGATAGTATATCTAGCTCGAGATGTTCTAGTTTGTGGTGGTTTGGGCTGTTAATTAAGCTACTGTAAATGTGAGTCCCATGCTGTTAATGATCTATAGTTCATTTCTCTGTTTCCAGTTGGAGACTGTACATTAAGCTGGCAGGCAGGATTGAAAGAGTTCAGTTTTCGTTTGATGATCTGAATTGCCTAGTGTATCTGAATAGCTAATTGTAGGTGGTCTGAAATTGACGCTCGTTCAGTCATGTGAATGTGTATTTTGTGGTTTTAGTTGTTTGCTTGTTAGCCCATGAGATTGTTTGCAGAAATTGCTTAGTCCACTTGTTCAATTCATGAGCAACTATTTCAGTTTTTTCGCTGCATACACTGTCCAAATCTAAATAGAACCCATCTAAGTTATCCAAAGCAACTAGTAGACTCCAATTGAACAATTGGAGTTTGGATTTTCCAAATCCACTCCCAGCGTATTTGGCCTATAATATCATGCTCCCGATATTGTTATCTTTGATTCTCTGATCTGAATATATATGTATATGCTACCTTTTTTTTCCCCTTTCTTACTGGGCATCAGTCTTGCAGTTCGATATGCTGTCAGTTAATGAAACGCTCAAACATTCCTCTGTGTTTGTTATCTAGCGCTTCTTCATGTTATGCTCGCTTTTACCAAACATTTGTTAATTGGGATGTCTAATCGCTTTTATATTGCGCTTCTTTTTTGTATGTTGCTGCAATGATAAGTTACACGAGCTGCTAGAAACTATAAAAACTCCAAAGAGCAGCTAGAAATTATCAACAAAAATGTAGATGTGCTTTTTTTCCTTTTCTTTTTCTTTTGCCATTAGCCATAATTTTCAGAGTTTTGATTTGTCTATTTTTAGTTGCGCTGATTGTTTATCTCTAGCTGCTCTTTGGAGTTTTTATAATTTTTTTATATTTGACCTGTTTGTTGAGCTGAATTTTTTTAGCTATTTTCAGAGTTGTTTTGCTAGCTTTGATTTGTTTGCTAGCTGCACTCTCTGTGTGTGTGTTTCTTTTACTCTTGTGTATGTGTTTCTTTTTCTCTCTCTGTGTGTTTGTTGGTGTGGGTGCAGTGTCTTTGACAGTTGCTGGTGTGTGTGTTTCTCTCTCTCTGTTTGTGTGAGTTTTTGGGTGTTTTTGGCTTTTTTATGGCTTATATTTTTGCTGGCAGTTATGTGTATTTGTCTTTTGCCTTTGGAGGGCCCAAAGCTAATTGTTTTTTTCCTGGGTTGTCTTTTAGTTTTTGCTGAGTGTGTGTGTGTGTGGGTTGTTTGTGTGTATGGTTGCATGTGCTTTGTGGCGCTGCTTGTGTGTGTCTGTGTGTGCGCTCTCTGTGTGTGTCTTGTTCAGTTATAGTTGTGGTGTGTGTGATTGTCTTTTTTTTTTCTTTTTCTTTTGCCATTAGCTCTATTTTTCTTAGTTGTGATTGTCTATTTATTTGTTTGTTTTTTTTATTTTTCTTTGGTTCTTTTTTTTAGAGTTTTGATTTGTCTATTTGAGTTGAGCTAAGTGTATATCTAGCTTGCTATCTCTCTGTGTATTTTGTCCTTTGCCTTTTTTTTGTTCTTTGCCTTTTGAGTTTGTCTATGTGTGTCTCTCTGCTATCTGTGTGTGTCTCTCTCTCTGTATGTGTGTTTGTGTCTGTGTGTGTCTCTCTCTTTCTCTCTCTCTGTGTGTTTCTGTCTTTTTTTGTACGTTGCTTGTTTTTGTGTGTGTGTCTCCGTATTGTTGTCTCTGTGTGTGTTTGTGGGTGTAGGTGTTATTGTTTACTGGGTCTTTGTGTGTTGGGGGGGTGTTGCAGTTGCAGTTAATTGAGTTGAATTTTTTAGCTGTTATTTTCTGAGTTCTTTGCTAGATATGATGAGGTTGTGTGTGTGGTTGTGGGTTTTTTTTTTCTAGGAGTCGCATGGAGAGATATCTGATTTGGATGGTACATGTGTATCTTTATAGTATGTATGTAGAAGATTGAAGGATATGAATTTGTGATCCATGGATTTTTTTACCCCTACTACACGTATATCTTTGGTACCTGATTTCTCGTCATGATGATTTTTGCAGGTACCTTGCTGAGTTCAAGTCAGGTGCAGAGAGGAAGGATGCTGTAGAGAGCACCATGAATGCCTGCAAAGCTGCTTAGGTCTGATCTTTACGTACATGTTGATAGGATGACTGCATATATCCTGTTAATTGTGATTCATTGTGAGGGAGCAATAGAGGGATTGTTGACATGGTGGTGTAGCCGCTGGCCGTCGAAGCACGGGACAGAACTGAATACACTGTGCAAGTGCTAGTGTTGTGATGGTCTATTTATTTTGGGTTTTACATTTGATGATTGCTTGCAAGTGTGAGGATTTGGTCGTGCCCTGCAGGTTATATGAGTTGTGTTTTTCTTTAGTGTGTGTTGTTGCTGACATATTCAGTGTATCGTGAATATAGTTACTTTGTTAAATAAGGGTTAAAGAACGTCGCTTTTGCCTAGTCTCATTTGGTTTCATATTCCCATACTCGCATTGAGTCATTTTCAAACACAAGGCCTCACTCAACTCTACCATGAACTTATTTGCAGATTTGTTTGGATGGCATTCCATCTGAGTGCCTTTTGATATGTAGGGATTGCAGGTATCGCTGTTTTTAGAGTGTTGTCGTTTTCTATATTTTTCCTTAGGGTGATTTGAGAAAATTGTTATTCTGATAATCTAATGTCATTAATTCTGAATGTGTAAGAGTAGATGATTTTTCTCAAGTTTTGTAGCATGTCTGGTATTAGATGTTTTGTTTTAGCCTTTTTGTGTTCATGTTTCGCTAGTTTTTCCTGCTACCTCATGCTATTTTTCCTTGTGGTGTATGACTGCTCGTGGCGTCTTTGATTTTGCTGTTGATTTCTTGGTGCTTGGTCCGATGAGTAGTGGAAAAACTATGCTTTTTGTTTTTTTCTTGAACATGGTAGCAGAGAAAAGACTCCAACCTTTATTTAATTTCTGAGTGCCTTTTTGCTGTATGAATGCTTTTTGTTTGGATGGCATTCCATCTTAGTGCCTTTTGATGAGTAATGGAAAAACCATGCTAGTTTTTCCTTCTGCAGGTACTTTCTCTGTTTTTTTTCATTCATGTTTACATGTTGCACTTAGCTAGCATAATTCATGGTGTATGTCGTCCTACGCTATGCTCTGTGGTCGCTGTTCTTTACTGGACTTAGTAGAATGTATATGGAATCATTGCGCCACTCCATTATTTTACCTACCTGCACATACATCCTCTTTCCCGTTCCACCATAGTGGGATTCAAGATTAAAGCTTTGATATATAATTTCTGAATGAGCCATTTCAAGTTATAGTTAATTTCACATCTAATCACACATGGATTCTCTCATGTTTGCTGATATTTGAAAAATGGAGGAATAACCTTCATTTCACAATTTTTTCTCGAGTGTAAGATGGCTAGATTATATGTTGCCCATGTTGCTATAATATGGATTCCAATAGTGTTGATGGGAAAGAAACCAGGGTAATTGACATTAATGCATGACAGAAGTATAATTTGCTAAGGAAGATCACAATTCTGAAAGTCAGATGAGTATGCTATTGTGTTGCAACAATGTGCCTTCAAGGCCATCTAGTTCTATCTGTTGAATCTTTGAGGCCATGTTTTGGTTTGCTAATACATATGACCCTAGATTGTTTCTATTTGCTAGCTCAGAATCCTGTCCAATGTGTAGTCTCTTGGGTACAGTCAGGACTGTGCTCTTTTATTAAACTACAGTGTACTTACCTTGTGGGTTTTAGCATTTTGTAAGTACTCAATGGATCTGAGGGCCCCTGTTGGGACTTGGGAGATGATATATATACAATGATTTGCTCAGACATTATTCTTAAGAAACTTGTTTTCTAAGCTTTGGGTATGTTTCTAAAGAAATCCAAGTTCTAATTACCATGATATGTTTCTTTAATAGATTAATATGTGTATGTTTTTTTAGTTTTGACAAGTCTTTAACAATGGTTTGGGTATGTTTCTGGTGCTAGCAGCTCAACCATGTGCATGATTCTGCCCGGAAGGTACAGCTGGTGAGGTTCCTGGGGGGCCATTCGCGATAATCGTAAGGCCTTCAGAAGCTGATCCATGTGTTCTTGTTTTGAAGCTGATCTCTGACGGTTGAGTTATCCAGGGAAGCATGAGGCTGGTTCTCCTGCAGTTGTTGGCTTCTCAGTGTTGTGCTCACTGCTCAATTCCTCTGGCAGACATCAATGCTAGAATGCCCTGAGTGGGGTTCACCAGAGACTCCAGAACTTGCGTATTGAGAAGCAACAGATGACCAGCAGGACAGTGCAGGAGACTCCAGAACTTGCGTATTGAGAAGCAACAGATGACCAGCAGGATAGTGCAGAGTGCTTCTGCACAGCGGCACGCACGTTTGCTGAAAGGTTCAACTCATCCTGAGATGCCACAAGGATTAAGGAAGTAATTCAGTGCATTACAAATAAAAACATCAAAGAATAAGATATTTCAGGGCACTAGAGGCCTCCTGTGTTACCGGCTGTTGTATCTGCATGGAGTACTTTTCGTTCATGGAGGATAAATACCGATAGTTTGAAAGAGTCAGTGTTCTGTTTTCTTCCTGTTGTATGTTTGTGCACACTAATGTATCGATGGAAAGAGTGATTTGTTAACGGGTTTGTTGGTTCTTGTCTGTTTGGGTATTTAACCCTGTTATGCAGATCTGACAGATTTTCCTTTGTAGCGTCGGTCAGTTTTTCTAGCAGATGTGACAGCTTTTAATTTGTCAAAAATTTGACAGATTTTTAGTTGTCAAATCTGTCAACAGAAGTATAGAGTCACTCGTTAACGATTGTGTAGTTGGAATCTTCAATCTGCCGTCACCCTTTATATATAGGGCAGCTGGTCTTCCCAGTACAAAATAGTCGAACACGAGTCCTCGTCTATTTCGGCCAGCCTGTAGGCATATCCGTGTGCTAGATGTGCTCCTGCCTGCAGTGGATGCCTGCGCAGATGGACAGCCTAGGCGAGCCAGCTGAAGCCTATCATGAATATTGCCGATACATGAGCCTGAGCCAAATTTGAGTGTCAACACAATCTTATTTCCAACTTGGGCACTTGTTGTCTAGCTTTGTGGAAATTTCCAATAGATTGCATGCACACTGTTCCATGTTGTATCTCATGTCCTTAGTGCTAAGTTTTTTTACTATTACTTTGGTATTCCTTTTAGCACTTATTTGTTCCAAAGTTTGCTTATTTTCTTGCTTCATCGTGTCACTGCAGGTCCAGTGCTGGTCTTCGCCTCAAGGGTGGGGCTTCAAGTAAGAAGAAGCAACGGGTGGAGGAGCAGAGCAGCTGTCGTCAAGCACAGGGTGACCGCAGCGTGCCAGCGAAGAAGAGGAAGACACCGCACCTGAGGAGGTCCAAGAGGGCTTCGTCTCCATCCCTATCTCGTGATATTCTTAGGGAGGATGAATGAGCAATGCTGGAGGAGGAAGATGAGCAACATGTTGAGCACGACAAGGGGCCAGCAAGAGATGAAGATAGCAATGACTCCACGATTGATGGAGGTGAAGAAGAGGACAACGATGATGACAAGGATCAAGGGGCTCGTCCAATCAATTTGGAGAAACGACAGGGAGTTCAAGTGGGACAACACAAGGAAGTTTCAGGAGGCTTGCCATCTGAAGTATTACCTTGGGGAGAGCAGTACTCTGTCACCTTACTTCCATACCAAGATTCCGTACAAGCTGTTCTGGGGTGAGTTCATTGACAGGTCGATGCAGGATAGTCTGTGGATCAGTTGGTCCTATCTGGAGAGTTTTCCACATATTCAGTCTCTGGTTGAGATGTTCAGGCACATGGGCTTCATGAAGGTGATGGCACTCAAGCACAACTGGAATGAATCGGTTGTTCATCAGTTCTACACCACGCTAGATGTTGACATGGAGGGTGAGTCCTTTGTTTGGATGATCGGCAAGGAGCAGTTCACGCTTCGTTCTAGGAATTTGCATGGCTCATTTGTCTTGACTATGATGAGATGAAAGCAGGGAGATCGGTGAAGAGCATTCCACCCATGCAGGAGGGTGAAACCTATATATTCTATCCAACTGGTAAGCATCACCATACCGCCAGCAAAGATCTGAAGAGGTACCCTTGTTTGATTAATATCATGCTGAGGCACACTCTGGTACCTAAGGTGGGAAATTCTGACAAGGTTCGCTTTCCATGCTATGAAGTCATTCGGGCCATAAAGACTGGGGATAAGCTGAATATGATTGAGTGGATGGCTGCTAAAATGGTGGATTTGCAGCTTGACAAGAGAGGTGCCTTGGTTTTCCAGCCATACATCATGGTGTTGATCAGGAACAAGGTTGACTTCCTAGGTGTTGAGGAGGTTGTGCACAAACCCTTTCGGCCGCATAGCAACAACAAGAAATTCCTACAGCGGGAGGCCTCACCACCATCCGAGGCTCCATTGCCGCTAATTGAGCAGCCAGAGCTTGACGTCGCAGGATCAGCTGAGGGAGATGCTAGTGTGTGGGCGCCACTGGAGAACTACTTCGTTCCATACTTTTAGCGCCTCTAGACATAGATTGAGCAGTTAGTGGCTCTGGTATGTCAGGGCTTGGATGATAGGTTCACTAAACAGGAGCAGTATCTTGAGGAGAGCTTTGTTGATCTGGTCATGGCCACAGTGAACGGTTTGGCTGATCAGATCGATGGCCAAAAGTTAACAGGTGGGTTAGCTTCGCTTGGATCCCACCACACAGACTCAGGCATTCCTTTGATACCTTGTACAATCACTTCTACATCTACTACCCAAGGCCGTCTGATGCTTTTGTGGTTGGTTAGTATCCATCCTTCTCTTTACCCTTTAAAGTTGTAGATATGTGTTTGTCATTTTATTTCTTACTTCACACTTGTATTATGTTGTGTAGATCCTATATCGATCCAGGCTCGTCCGGTGCTTCCAAGTCTACAGATGGGTTTCACTTCTCCACCAGGTGCCCAGTTTGCAGGTATGTCCTCGTATACTTGCTTAGTCCATTCTTTTAGTTCTTTCTATCTTTAGGCTTTCAGTACTCACTCGATCCAGTTTCCTTGTAGGTGTGCACCCGACAATGATATCTCCAGGAGCTTCTCGTCTGCCTTAGTACATGCAGACGCTGCCGCCACCACAACAGCCTTGTCAGAATCCGCCCAACCAGTAGTCGTCCTCAAGCCTTGCCTTCGTCGTGTCGTAGTATTGGTCTTGGTTAGTTGAGAGGGGTCAGATACTTTGATTTGCTTCATTGCCTGGTTGCATCGTGAAACAGGTTTGCATCTCTATCGCCCTTTACCTTTCGTACTTAATTTATGTACCTTGGGTTGTGTGTTTACTTTCCTAGCTTAGTGTGATAGACTTTTTGATAGGATTAGAACGTAGGGTGCATAACTCTTTTGCGGTAGAGACAACAAGACACCTAGCAAAACCGTAGTCGCACATTTAGATAGTTTATCTTTGTATAGGGTTTGCTTAGTTTGAAATTAGAGACCATAGTTTAGAAATTGTTTTTAAGTTGCCTAATCCACACCCTCTCTTAGCCGTCACGGTCCTTTATAAGTGGTATCAAAGCTAGGTTGGCTCAATTTGAACCTTTGGGTTGACCGCATTTGAGCCGACACTATTTAGAGTTGGCAGGATAGATACCTCTAGACTTCCACACTTTGTGGGCACTAATTTCCCCTATTGGAGTGCTAGAATGGCTTGCTACCTAGAAGTGGTTGATTTAGGTGTTTGTAGAGTTACCCATAACAGGATAAAACCCCTGAAGAATCTTGAAAAACCCATGGCAAGTGACAAAAAAGAAATTCACTTAAATGCAAGAGGTAAAAATTACTTGTTTCAATCTTTGAGCATAGAAATTTTTAACCAAATGTTCACAATATCTAAAGCAAATGAAATTTTGTTACAAGTAATGTCCGTGAGAAAAAACATTGCCTAGCTAAACAAAGTTATGATTCCTTCAAAATGCATGAAATTGGGTTTGTTAGAGATATGTATTCACAGTTGAATCTAATTACCAGTGAGCTCAATTGTTTAGGATTGAAAAGCTAGGTGATGCGGATATTTTAAGGAAGATCCTGTCGGTGCTACCACATAGCAAATATGCAAGCATCATCACCATCCTTCACAACATGGAGGACTTGAGCAGCATGATCCCAACGTTTGTCATTGGCAAGTTAGTGGCATTTGAGATGTCCGCAAGATGGGTCAAGAAGAAGCCACTTCATCAAGTAAAAGCATTGCTCTCACATGTGATGAGCACAAGAAGATGATGGGCAAGAATCAAGTTGAATCAAGCTCAAACTTAAGTTCATCATGTGAAGAAGATGAAGATGAGGATAATGATGATGATAAAAGTGATGATAATCAAGCCTCCACCTCCTTCGAAGTTGATGAAGAAACTATCAAGCTAATAGAGAATGTGGTGAAAAATATTCACAAGTTGAATGTCAAGGGTGTGTCCATCCAAATTGAAGATTGTCTATCTACCAACCAAAGAAGAGAGCAAAGAAAGAAATGATGCTATGGTTGTTACAAAAAGGGGCACTTTGTGGAAGATTATCCAAACAAGCCCACACCTAAGGAAAAGAAGAAGGTTTGCAAGGCCAAAGCCCTCACCGCTATCAAGACTTGGGATGTTCTTCAAGTGAAGGAGAAGCCTAACATAAGAGGTGCAGCCAGAAGAATTCATCTTCAAACTCTTCTCAGTGTGCCTAGTGAGAGTGATAGAGATGATGATGATAAGCCTGCTTATAAAGAACTTGTGGAAAAGTCCTATTCTTTCATGAAATTTGCACTAATCAAAGAAAACAAATTAGTGAATACCAGGATGTCCACATGACATATATAGCGACAAATATGGAGAATATAAAAAACAATGCTTTTATTATATATCGAACATACTTACAATAGGACTTACAACTATTACAAAAGCATAGCGGAAACTATTCTTAATCTTTTCTTTGGGACTCCATACTCCACAGGGACGGCTGACTAGGGAAGCACTCACCTAATACTCATGGACTCCACAAGAAACTCTTCACACTTGATCCACCATCTGGTACTCATCCGAGATTTTTGTTGATTATAAAGCAAGTGTGAGCGCACCATACTCAACAAATATAACATGAGGGGGATGCAAGGCTCAAAAGGCTGGGCACGGCTAAATTGTGGTAAACATTTTTAGTTGGTCATATTTTATTTATTAAACCTATGTTGCTAGGTCATGCTTAAGCTCACAAGGTGAAAGTATAATTAACATCAACATTAATCATCACCCAAACCATCCATAGAACCATCTATCTTGAAAAGGATCCAGGCCGCTCGTATCCATAAGCACGGCTGATATATCAGTTTTAAATAAGTCTGCAGTGCTTGTACACTTTCACCATGAGTCGTGTCACCCATATGCCCGAGGTGATCAGTCTCTTGACTCACTTCCAAGGTAAGTCGGTAGGGTTTACTATGAAGCCTTTCGAAAGTCCCCCTAACAAGTTAGTAGCCGCTAGGTTTTAGTGGCAAGCGTGCATAGGTGCCCTCCTCCATGAGGCACATGTGGTCGCAGCACTGCACACTCCAAGGGAGGAAAACAACTATACACCACGAGGCACTCCCCTCTTGTGCCTTTTGGTAACCACTAACAAGCTAGAGAAGTTCAGTTTACTGAGCTAAAGCTAGAGCCATGTAGCCCTCATGGTTGTATGATTAATTCTGTGTGACTGCTTTAAGATTCAGTCCTTATGGAGAGCAGACTAGAGCACCCAAAAAGGCCCAATACTCTAGCCCCTTCTGTCCATGTTTTTAAAAAGCACCTTTTAATATGGATTCCATAAACCATTAGTCAAGATTAACATTCTTATGTTGGTGTGTGCAGGTTAAAAAAACTACCCATATGCATAACCCAAGGTAACAACGAATTCAGGATAACAAAGGTTCTAGGTAAAATCCTTAGGGATTCATCATATTAGACACATGCACATGAAAAAGGTGATTAGATGGTTTTTGGGTAACAAGAGAACTCATGTTACACTTGCTTTCAACTGTTGCTCAAACTTGTCCAACTTTCCTTTTAGATCATCCTCGCATATCTCTTCTATAGATCGCAACAACCAGCACGAGCACCATAAAAGAATCCTAAAAACAATACATCAAGCATTATAAAACAAGATGTAAAAGTTCTAAGCACGTAGGCTTGTAACTACGAATATATGAGCGCAAAAAACAACTAACAAAAGAGCCACAATTAAAAGATGTAGGAGTCAGAGGTATAGATGGAGAAGGATTGGATTTAGATGAACATGGGTGAAGTTAAGAAAAATGTAAACACATTCATTAGAATGGAAAGGGTTGGAGATGTACTGTGTTCTAAACATAGGATTGGGTTTGGAGAAGCATGATATATTGTAGGAGGATGATATTGGTATTTTGGGAGACATTAGAATCGATTGTAAGGAAGACAAAGACTGGATGATGATTTACATTGGGTGGCATGCTTGTGGCGATGATCAATAGAAGTGATATATTTTCTAGAATTTTGGGAAATATGTTTAGGGGGATTGTATGCAGCTACTAATATATGCACTAAAGCCAGAGGGTTTACTGATATGGTCAAACATTTGACGGGGAACGCAGTCGCACACCGATGCATCATGAACCTGCACATCGGCGGACAATAGACATGTTTAACAACCGAAGCATGGTATTCGCTTAACGAAGTAGTGATTTGTTTTGTGGGTTCGTTAGGTACTATGTGGTGTATATTTTTGAAAAAGGGCAAGTCGTTTGGAGCATTATTGAGCCGAGGAACGCAATTGTAAAACAGTATGGCATAGCTGTTTGGACAGCGGGGGAAATGAGTATTGCAGTCTCAATATCTCGGTTATCATGGCATCCATAGATGAGCCAACTTGCATAGATATGTGTAATGGCAAATTGCACAAGTTTGCTTAAGGGTTTGATCATTTAGATAGTGGATCAGAGGGAAACATGGTGAAACACCCGTGCAGCCAGAATGTGCACGTTGGCGGATAGCTAGGAATAGGATCACATGGAGCAGGGCCATAGCAGTTCCAATTGGCACTCCATTTTGTGGGGTTACTGTGGACTATATGAAGTACATGTTGGCAAAAGGGCAAGTTACTTTGAGCATTGGTTGGCCAGGAAACGCAGCTGCAAAATGAGGATGCATGACTGTTGGGATAGCAGGGCAGCGAGCGGTGCAAACACGATATATAACTCATCCATCATGGAATGTTTAGATGAACCGTTTTACGGAGACATGTGCAGAGATAAGACACACATGCTGTATAAAAGGTTTGATTATTAGGCTAAAGGGTGGATGGGGAACGCCGTGCCATTAAGATAGTCATATGTGCTAGGACAGCAAGGACAGCGACCATGAATTTGGCGATAAATCTTGAGTCTCAACTCTTATGGCCAAGCCAATTTGTGTGATTGTGTGCAGGAAATGGGTACATATTACGGAGAAAGGGCTCAATGGCTGGAGGGCTGGATCAAATGGAACACGTGCACCAACCGGCAGCAGCGCTGCTGTCCACGAGGGATAGTGATACGATTCGCAAGAGGATCATGCCAGGGATCAATAGAATCCGCATTACAAGGTATGAATCACCATGGGAATGGATAAAACGTATAGAGAATCATCAAGGGTTTGTCACTTTGGGAGTTTCCAGCACCTGAGGTGAGGTCAACGGCAGCCAACATCGACAACAAGCAACGAGGCATGGCTGATAGCCATGCGGCGGTGATTCTTTTCATGGATGATCTGCGATATGTGATGGAGTTGTGAATCGAAAGATGAACAATAGACAGGACATCAAACTAGAGGGGACAGGGTGAGGTCTCACCATGGAAGTGGTCATGTGTTGTGTACAGAGAAGGACATCGATGCGGCCTGCGTTGACTGGGGTTGATGCAGCGGTAATCAATCATTTGGGCTGTGGTGGTTGACTTGAGGGGATGATGATGTGCATCAAGATGACATCCATGCTGAGGTGCAAACACACGACTTGGCCTGGGGCGATGGGGATGAAGCGACCATGGGGTTCGCTGGCGACATCTTGCGTGCTCCAGCGGGATGTCGACAACCGGGCTACGATCTTCGATTTGGGGCCTCCCTGTGTTGCGAGAGAGAGATCGAGAAAGGGGTGAGGGCTGAGGGGTATGCCACACAAAGAGATGGAGGGAGGGAGGATGACCTTACTATAGCAAGGATCGGCGGCAGCGTTCTACACTGACGGTTTGCTCGGTCTCTAGGATGATGAGCGAAGCGGCAAAACGGAATCGCAGCTGCGTTTTCTTTCTATTTTGATGCAGAGGAAGGAGAGGGAGCTAAAGCCATGGGGGAAGGAGAGGAAGAGTGGGAAGGAAAAGATGTCCATCTGGTTGTGATTGAGGGAGAGAGGAGAATATATGTGGCTTGCTGTATGTGCATGCAATTGAAGAGGAGGCAAGTGGGGCTAGGTAGTTAAGGAGTATTATGCATTGCTGTTATTTCTGCATGAGGGGGTGAGAATTGTGCGGTAGCAGGAGGGTAGTGGCTATCCATGTGGTCGGTTTCTATTCCTTTAGTTGTGAAATTACTTAGAGGTAAAGGAGTTTAAGATGTGTGTTAAGGGGGTGAGAGGCTAGGGAATTAAGAGAGCAAAACATTACATGCTGCAGTTTTTGCATGTGCAGAGAAGGGGGAGGTCGACACCAAGAGAGGAGAGGGGCAGCATCTTCACGTAAAAGAGAGGGGAAAGATATTGCTGCTGCATTCATGAAATTGAAGAGCAAGAGAGAAACTAATGGTATAAAGGAGCAGGGTGTGTCAAGGAAATTAAGAGAGGAATGAATAGGTTCATATATTTTTGCATGAAAATAAGAGATTGGCGTGGGGCAACAGCAGGACAAGATGCATGTCTGTCCTTTACTCATACATTTGAGAGGAGGTGGAAACAGATGGAGTAAAGAGGTAATTTAGGGAGAGATGGGATTAAGGGGAGAACTAATGTCATTATTTCTGCATGTGAGCAAGGGGTGGGTGACCAGGGAAAGGAGAGGTGCGACTTTTCCACGTGAAAGAGAGGTGGAGTGTTAGTGGAAGGGAAGAGAGGGTGTGGGAGAAGCAGAGAGAAAGTTTGGGCTGATTTGGACATGGCCCAAAGCAAGAGAAAGGGATTCATGATCCATTTGCAAAAGGAGAGAATGTGGACTAGGTTGGATTGGCCCGAAATAACTCTTAATGCATTAGTGACAATTAGGGATGCCATGGTTTGACATAGGCTTAGCCTAATTTGATATAGACTTGAGAAGAAATGGCAAGGGCGAGTCAAGCTTGGCTTGTCAGAAACTGACATTAACATGGATAAGCAACATGTCATTGATTTGACTTGTCCAAAATGATAATATAATTATGTGAGAGAAGAATGGCGATGATTGGTCATCTAGCATACATTTAGGGAATTAGGAAGAATTGATAAAAAAGAAGTAGGAGCTCGACAAAAAGGAAGAGCAATGGGAGGGTTGGGCTAGGGTCTAAGTAGTATCTTGGCAATGCCTTGATCAGGGTCTTAGAAATTTTGATCGAGGTTTGATTCAGATTTAGAGTTTTAGAGAGTGATAATGTTTCAAAAGATGAGGTTGGGATTAAACCCTAAGCGTATCCTGAAAACAATTAAATTCATTTTTCAAACATAAACACTATGCAAAGGCATGAATGCATCAATTACCCAAATTAAATTCCAAAAGTTTTCGAAACTCACCTTTTCCAACATCTAAAATGTCAACAACTTAACTAAAGTTGGAAAATTTGATAAAATAGTAAAATCTAAGTAAAATCTTTTGTTTTGTTTTTAGTGTTTTCTAAGTCACATACCAAAATAGGAATTTTCGGGTGTGACAAACTACCCTCCTTAAGAGGAATCTCGTCCCGAGATTTGCTGAAGCTACACTCAAAGCTAAGAGGCAAATCATACAATGGCACAATAACAAAACAAACTTAGCACACTAACATGATAGGGTCCTTATTAAAACACACTATCACTCACCTTAGCATCGTTGCTAAACATAAAAGCGCTCGGAGATAACATCTTCCTAAAGACACTGGGGTAAACAAGCTTCAACTCTTCAGTCTTCAAGGTATTGCTCTTCTTCTTGATGTAGAAACTTGATCTTCCCAGACATCTTCATGGATCCAAGAGAAACAAGGGGTTTTGGTCAAAAGTGTTTCCATTTTTCACAAAGCATCAGGTTGGAAGAAGTCAAGATAGGTTTTTATCAAAATATGTTTGTAAAAATAACCATTTCTAACTAGGCTGAGTGTTCTACAATCAACATTGCTTTGATACCATTATGTCAAACCCGGTTTTCGAAAGAATACCAAGAATTAACTATATATGTGCCTAGGATGTCCACACGACATATATAGCGACAAATATGGAGAATATAAAAAACAATGCTGTTTACACCAAAATTTGGAAAGAAGAACGCGGGAACCCGAAGCTTCTAGGATTGTGTCATCAAGGAATCAATTAGATGTGAATCGATATCAGCTGATTTAGATGTGATGTCTGAATCGGCTATTTTATGGATGACGTTAGCAGATGGCGTTAATGGACTATACTTGAGTGGCGCTCGGAAGATGTGTCGGACTCTACAGATAAGGAAAATTGGGGTCCAGGTTATTATTAAGTTAGAAAGTTTTCTTTTATTTCAAGAATTGTAATGAGTCGTATTTGAGTATGATTCATGTTTAGGCTCCGGATATAAATATTAGACCCCGTTTATTGTAAAAGAAGACGAACACTCAATCAATACAATCTTTCCGGCTTTCGCCATCGTATTAGGAGTAGAAGTATTATAGATCTCGACGAGTTCTTCAGTAAACAGGGCTATATCGATTGATCGACCTCCAGCTTGTTTGTGAGTACCGTCATAACTTGTATTATGCTTGTAAAGCTGTATCAGCTGATTGATCTTTTATGAGCCATAATATAAGTTAGTTATCAATATGTATCGTAGTTTGTAAGGCTGCATCAGCTGATTGATTTCTTACGAATCATAATATATATCAACATTATCGATCCTATGTTAACTAACTTGTTGTTTAAAACAATATCACTAGTTATCGAATCTGCTAAGATTAGTAAGATTTTTCTTACTGTTTTTGGTTGATTCACTAGTTATTGATCTTGCTATAATTAATGTTTTATTAATTATAACAAAATCACCCGATTGAGATAGAGATAGATCGGCGTCATATCATTTTAATTGGTCGTCCTTTGATCTGGTCACGCTTCAAATCTTATAATTGATGGCTTAATTCCGCTAGATCGGCTGTTTGTATCTCTATTCTAGTCAAACATAGTATGCATCTAAAGACATGTTTCAATCTTGAATAAAGTCACTAGTTAAAGAGATCTAATCTAATGACACTACCATAGCTGCATCGATCCAGTCGAACCTCACTGGTAAGACTTTAGATTAGAAACTATTGATTAGTGGTCTTGTTCATCATCAAGATATGTACTCTGTCTGTTTGCTATGACTACATCGGCTATTTTAGCCGATTTGCCTATACTCATGCATATATCATGTTTTCATGAATTTGTCAACATATAGATGGTTTTATAAATTCTTTGAGTTTAGTTTGTTATCATTATCATAGCTGCATCGATCCGATCGAACCTCACTGTTGACGATAATAGATTAGGTTCAAACTGTTTGTAGATTAATTTATGTTAGACAGTCGATTTGTTCGTATGTTATACTCTTTTCATCAGACTTATCGGCTCGACGCTTCATATCGATCATGTTCCATGTAGCCGATGATGCTTTCTGATGTTCCATGAGCATCGGTTATTTTGATTCATATCATTATCATTTAATATTAGTCGATAATCCTTGATTTAAAGATCTTTATTTCATGGATACGCTATTTAGTCGATAGCCTCATTGAATCGGCTATCTAGCCATACATTTGGAACTGTTTGGTGCAACACCGACATGTTCCATCTTAAATTACCGATAAGATTTTCTCTCCTTGTCAATTGCAGGTCAAATTGACTGGCATGCCATTGGGTTTTCAGAATCGACTGGTTCTGTATTGAAGCCAAGCAGATCTCTGGTCTCGTTCCACTCAGATCATCTGGCTTGATGTGTGTTGATCACATCGCCGCATTTTTGTGTCAACACACTTTTTGGTATGCTTGATGGGACCACAATTGTCATGGCGGTTTACAACGACAAGGACATTCTTATAGTGCCTTATGAAGACTTACCTGATGAGGATAAAGATATCATTGTTAAGGCTATATAGGAGTTTCAGAACAACTGCTTGTTGTCATACACCAAAACACGTGACAATAAAGTTGTATAGAAATATCCACTGCCGAGAGTTTTGATGCATGGACAGTTAGATATAGACGAAGCTGATGATAGATGTTTCTTTGTAGAAGCTGTCAATAAATCTATTCATGATGCAATGCTGAATCATAATACAGTTTTCTTGAATACATTCCACAATAACATGAAGGAGGTGTTTCATGGATTTTCACTTGACCAGGTTGGACCGGCTTATTACAATATTCTGCATCCGTCGACTCAGGGGACTAATCAAGCTGACACTAGCCATCAAGAGGTAGTACTAGCTAAGAGTGATGATGTCCAAGTAATTCAGAATTCATCTAAGCAAATTTAGGGTGCTACTTCTAATCAAATGCAATATAATTCGGGATCATCAGTGCGGCATGTGCAACAGCCGACAGGGCAAGCTCAGAATCAGATGGTTAATTTTGGTACATCAGGCCAAATACCACTGTCGGCTCAAAAAATAGCACAATCAGTTCAAAGGATTCATAGAGATATAGATCATAATGTTTTCAATCAGAGACTTCAAACAATAAATCAGCAAGGGGCTCGACAGATAGATATTCCACAAGAATATCATTATGGTTCAGATTATAATACCCTCAATATGATTCCAAATCCAGGATATCAAGGCACTTAGAATTTCAATCTGTAGATGGGTCAGTAATTGCCAAGAAATTAAAACTCAAATGCTGATGAATTGTTGCTCAGAGTAACCGAAATGATGAAAAATTAGTTTGGTTTAAAACCAAAAGGGCAGACCTTTTCGAACAAACGTCCATATCCAGAGTGGTATGATTTAGTGGCCCTCCCTATGAATTATAGGCTTCTAGAATTTGCTAAGTTCAGTGGTCAAGATAGCACAAGTACAATAGAACATGTCAGTCGATATCTTACTTAGTTGGGTGAAGCCTCTATTGAGGAAGCGCATTGAGTTCGTTTCTTCTCTTTGTCCCTGTCAGGATCAGCTTTCACTTGGTTTTCATCACTAGCGGTTAATTCTATTGCTAATTGGAGTGATCTTGAAAAGAAATTTCATACATATTTCTACATTGGGATAAGGGAAAGAAAGATCACAGATTTAACAACTATAAAGCAAATGGCTAATTAATCGGGTGCTGAATTCCTTTAGAGGTTTCGAGAAATAAGAAACTTATGCTTTTCGTTGAATTTGACTGATGATCAGCTAGCTGTGTTGGCCGTTCAAGAATGTTGCGAACATGGAGAGAAAAGCTGCTTGGGCAAGAATTTGACAATTTAGGTCAATTGGCTCAACGGGTGGTAGCACTTAATAGCCAATTCCAGAATATGCATAAAGATACCCGATTTCAGAAGAATGCTGCAATCGCTGAAGCTTATAATCCATATTTAGTCGATGATGATTATGAAGAAGAGAAAATTGCCGCAACTAAATGAAATTGGGGTAAAAAGATAGTAATGGTTCCAAATCTTTGGGAAAAAGAAGTTGAAGAAAGTTATGATTTT